ATTTTATTTAATTAAAACTTAATTTAAAATTTAAAATTTTATGTTATTATTAAATATTGATTTTTAAATTTAAAAATAGATTAAATTTTTAAAATTTGAATTGAAATTTTAGTTTCTAAATATATGTTAAAACTCTAACTTTGTTTAGGAGTTGAGATTAATCTGCATTAACCTTAAAAAAATGATATAATTTTACCTTAATAATGACAATGATATTTTTTTAGTTGTTAATCAAAATTAAAACATGTAAATTTATTACAAATTTAAAAATAAAAAATAAAGAAAAAATGTCAATGAAAAAGTGAAAATATTATTATCATAAAAAAAAAAAAAACCAAAATGTTGGGGTGTGCTAGTGATGTAGGTTGATGAGTCAGCAACAGTGATGATGTGGAGGCTGACTAGGATGACACCCGAGGAGATGAGGAGGGGTTCTTTCGGCGGCCTTCATCTTATGTGCACATGCTACATGCTACGGGCCATCCCATTCTATCTAGAAATGATATCACACATCCGACTCCCCAGTGAAGTTGTAGAACATAAATCCCTTGGCCAAGCTACTGGAGCTGAACTACGACAACAAACTTCTTGCAGACTCAGAATGATTACACAACTGCCAAAACCATCAATAAGAGTGCGCATATATGGCTAGGAGGGTGACAAAGATAATAAACATGTGGGTTCAAAGATTACAATTTTGAAGTTACATTCACACATAGAGCACCATGACATAATGGTAATGACACCAAATAAAACCTTTGTCATCTCTAGTGAACATTTTCACCCTATAACGCACAACTCTCATGTTGAACACGAAGGACGTAATGACCATCCTTCTAAAATTTCTTCAGGAACAAAGAAAACGAAGAGGATAAACTCGAAAATAGTGATGGGAGAAGGAAAGGTGTTCGCTTGGGGACACTTATGGGCGGAACTCTCAATCCCGTTCTTTGATGCTAACCATGCGGCATGATCATTTGATGCTCAAGAAGAATTACATGGGTGATGGAACTGTAAGCTGTTGTTTCCAAGCCGTAAGATCTTGCAAAACTGGGAATACTCTGTGATATTGGAAACTATCATACGAGGCTAGAAGTCATTTTACAAGGTTGAAAATACAGAGAAATGATGATTTCTGGGTAGCTTTTAACATGCGGGATGATGGATTGCAAGTGGAGTAATTTTTATTAGGAAAGAAGAATGGGGATCTAATGCGTGAGAAGAAAATCTGGGTTCTCTTTTGCGTCCTTTTTTTGAATGGCAAGGGAGGGATGATATATGCAGTCAGGGGTAGTTCTGTAATCCTACATATGTCAGAAATGTACAGATGGGTCCAAGTGAGTTGTCAAGCCTAGATTGGTTCCAGGCACTGTTGATGGTTGCTCTGGTGTTAGCATCATGAGTTGCCCATTGGTTCCAACGAAGCTTTGCTGGTTCCAACGATGGACTGGAAACTAGCCATTATTGGAAATTCTCCCAGCCATACAAAACTCCGTTTTTGGGGGATGCTTGAGTGCAACTGGCAAAGACACCACCTGCACAATGATTTGGTGAGTTCCTTAGGCTCTATTCGGGATTTTGGGAGAACTTGCAAGTAGGTAGTAACCTTCCACAACAGTTTCCAAGGCTATGAAACTTGTGCAGCCACCCTTGCATTAATATGGCTACAAGTTGCTGATGGTGATTCAGGCGGCATCTTCAGTCGGTCTTCAACGGGATTTCCAACCTTTGGTTAGCATCAAAGGATACTTTCTGGGAGTTAAGTTTGTTCCGCACCTTCGCCACCTAGCCTTTTCTGGTGAAATCGAGCAACATCGCCAGCGCCAAGCTTTGCCGACGCGAATGCCTTGCTTTGCCAGAAAGGCAACATTCACCTATCCATGCCTGCCAAGCCACTACCCCCATAACTTATCCCAAGTAATTTCCATGAGCTTGGATTCACGGGTTTACGCTTATCTGCAATAATAATAAAGTACATATGAGCATATATTTGCGTATTTTAGATACAAGGAATATGTGAATATACACAGTGAAGAGAGGAACTCCCTTATATATTGAGGAAGACCATATGGGCAAATGTTCGCTACTCCCATTTATTCGCTAGCCGTGGCAGCTGTTGCTTTATTGTTGCTATGTGTGGCTGGCACTATGTCAAAATAAAGAATGGACGACATGGGTGTGTGCTGCGATATCGTTACCCGAGGCCAAGCTTTGTTGGCTGATGGTATCTGCTAACACTTAGACTATAAAAGAGATATGTTATAGATTAGGAACACCGTCGATCAGTAACTTTGTCCCTTTGTATAGAAAGATGATAATATATATGACCGCCAACCATGTTGCATAAGTTTATGGGATCAACTATGGATAGCTTTCCCATAGGCAGAGGGACAATAGTGGCTAGCTTCGTCCATGGCTGAAGCGTGAACTACGTGGAATTGGAACAGCACTCCCACTAATTCGCCAAGTTGTGAAGGGGTAAATCTTGTTAAACGAAACTCCATCATAGCAATGAAGATGTGATAGAGAAAGATGGAGTTGTCTCCATGGAAGCGGGACGACAGCCACATCCATGGCCTCTAATACGATAAGGTGTGATACCACTGATAAACGCTGGTCCTTCTTGCCATACCCACACCGTTAGAGGGTGGTCCTAGTTGTTGTTGCCCGTTGGGCACCGCACCACCATGCACGGGCGACCGCCAAGGGACCACCGGCCGCTACTTGATGGATTTTCATCGTTGGAGGGTAGCCATATCGTCCGATTGCAAAGTTGCAACTGTTATCAGCCTCATGCTAATCGTACAGAGTTGCGCTGAATCTTTGTCCACTTTTAGGAGCCAGTGGGGTACATATGTAGCAGATTTGGTCCTTTATCCATCGCTGCGAGCTATGTAAATGTAATATGATCAGCCCGTTGTCCATTGATGGGAACCAATGATAAAGATATATAGGAGTGGATGCTCGACCTGTTGTCCATCGTTGGGAGCTATATAGATCGACCTGTTGTCCTTTGATGGGAGCCATGTAGCAAAATAGGCTCTTTGTCCATTGCTTAGAGCTGCAAGATACAGTGGAGAACATTGTTGTAAAGGACATGGTCGTCAAGAAGCGCCTAGCCATGTCGCCGAAATAGACTTAGCCATGTCTGGCCATGTGTGTGGAGATAGATGCTGGAGTGAGTTACATTCCGCGGTATTTCCAACGAAGCTAATAAGTGCCTCGCGTTGGCGATGTTGATTTCATAGTAGCAATTAGTAGAAAATTGGAATCACACATCAGATGTGGAAGGATAAGTATTGTGGTCCTTCACTGATGTGGACCCACACATGTCATTAGTTATGCAGCCATGCAAATTCATCCCTCAACACAAAACAAAAAAGAGAGAAGTATATTTTTTCAAAACTGCATATGTCACGTTATCGATGCCACATAAGCATGCCATGGGATTCTGTTAAAAAAAACTAATGGAAATTTGCTAGATAGATGAATTTGAAATAATTTTCAAAGTTTATAGATGAATTTGAAAGAAACTAAACTTTATAAATTAGAATGAAAATAGAATAATAGTTAGTAGATGAAAAGTTAAATTTAGCTGATTTTTTTGGCTAGAAAGGAGGATAACCGAGAGAGAAGGAGAAAGATTTTTTTTTTTGTCTGTCACCCCCGTTTTGTCGTCCGTTCCTTCTCCTTTTAAAGAGAAAGGAAACTAGGGTTTTATTGATGGTTTGGGCTAAGCTTGGGTTGGGCCCTGATTAAAGGATTATGGGCTACTTGAGGTGTAAACATGTTGAGCTTCAAGGCCTTTGCATAATTTTTGTAATTTAATCTCCAACTTTGACTTCTTTTAATTGAGTCTCCTTTCTTGAGTTTCTTTTCCAATTTCTTCTTGAATTTCTTTTTGCATGTAGCACCTAAAACAAAAATAAAGATATATTAGTTAAAGAAAAGAGAAAAATTCATACTTTTATATTTTTGTGTTTGTTTATATTAATTTTCTGATTTATATACACATATATTTTATTTATTTTTTTCATGAAAAGTCTAAATAAACTTGGATGAAAAATATAGTCCTGAAACACAAAGAACAAAGGCTAATTAAAATATATTTTCTTCTTTTTTTTTGATAAAAAATTGAGCTATGAAAATGGTATGTCAATAAATTGAGTTTTGGTGGATAATGGAGATATTGTTAATGTCTTGCCAACTTGTATGTTGCACAAGATTGGTAAATCTTTGGGTGATTTAATGGAGATAGAAGTGACAATTAGTGACTTAAATAGTAGGGTAAATCGCTCAAAGGAAATTTTGTCAATAAAGCTTATTATTGGAAATAGAACTCTCACTTGTAATGCATTACTTGGGAAAGATTGGATACATTTTAGCTTGTGTGTTCCTTTAATTTTGCACTAGAAATTGATATGCTAAAATGGTGGTAGAACTGAAGTTGTGACAACAAATGATAGGCCTTTTGTGCCTAACACTAATACAGTGGAAACTCGTTACTAGAATGAAGATATTGGGACCATTCGCTTCTTTGGGATGGAGCATTATGGCAAACC